TTAATATCCTGTGAACTAGATGAAGTTGTTGGCCTTGGTCTTCTAGGATATTGATGCCATTCTTTCTTCTTTTTGTGTTCTTCAGACTCAGTCGTAGTTGTTGGTCTGAGTCTGGTAGGATACTGGTGTGATTCCTTTTTCTTTTTGAATTCTCTTGATTCTGACGTGGTTGTTGTTTGTCTTGGGCGAGTGGGATATTGGTGCCACTCTTTCCTTTTCTTGTGTTTGCCCGATTCTGAAGTGGTCGTCGTTTGTCTGGGGCGAGTGGGATATTGGTGCCACTCTTTCTTCTTCTTACGCTTCTTTTTTGACCCAGACGTAGACGAATGCAGCCTCTTAGCATGTATTTGCAGGGCGTTTATATCTTCGATTGGATTTCTCGAAAGAGCGTCAGCGTTTATATTTTGTTTGCCTGGTTTGTACTTTATTTCATAATCGTACTCGCTCAATCTCAATTTCCATCGCATGAGTCTCGATGTAGGATCTGTGAGACTATTTAGCCAGATCAATGGTTTGTGATCTGTAATTAGATAAAACTTCCTGCCAAATATATATGGTCTGAAGTGATTTACTGCAAATATTACAGCAAGTAATTCTCTCTCTGTTGCGGAATATTGCGTTTCCGGCTTATTCATTACTCTTGAGGCGTAAGCTACTGGCTGATCCTTTCCTATCTCTCCTTGACTTAGGACTGCTCCTACCGCTGTTCCGGATGCATCAGTGGTTATATTAAATGGTCTCTCAAAGTCTGGATATTGCAGGATCGGCTCTTCGCATAGTACGTTTCTCAAGAATTCGAAGGCTTGCTGCTGTTGGCTGGACCACTCGAATTTTTGTTCTTTCTTCGTCAGGTCGGATAATGGCTTGGCTATCTTAGAGAAGTCTTTAATAAAGCGTCTGTAGTATCCGCACAATCCCAGAAATTGTCTAATGTTTTTGACAGTCTTAGGAATGGGGAACCTCTGGACTGCTTCAACCTTTGCTGGGTCAGGTCTTACACCGTCTTCTGTAATTATGTGACCCAGGTACGCTACTTCTTTCTTCAGAAATTGGCATTTGTCAGGTTGCAAGCATAAGTTTGCTTCTCTGAGCTTTGCCATCATCCTATTGACTTTGGTTTCGTGTTCTTGTAACGAACTTGCATAAATTACAATGTCATCGATGAACACGAATAGTTCCAGTCCTTGCAGTCCGTCTAGGACGTTGTTCATCAGACGTTGGAACGTAGCTGCAGCATTTTTCAACCCAAAAGGCATTCTGTTGAATTCAAAGTGCCCAAATGGTGTCGAAAATGCCGTCTTATGCTTGTCTTCTGGATGCATTGGTGTTTGATGAAAACTGGACTTCAAATCAAACACGGAGAAGTATTTTGCGCTTCCCACTTGATCCAGGATGTCTGTAATATTGGGTAGTGGATAGGCATCGCTGATTGTTTTTTCGTTTAGCTTTCGGAAATCAATCACCAATCTCCACAATTTGTTTCCCTGTGAATCCTGTTTCTTAGGTACTATCCACAAGGGGGAGTTAAATGGTGACGATGAATGTTTGATTATTCCTTTCTCAAGGAGATCATTTACTTGATGATTGATTTCATCTTTTAACGCATGAGGATACCTGTATTGCTTAACGTTTACAGGCATCTCATCCGCTGTGATGATTCTATGGTAGATTTTATTTGTTGCTGGGAGTTTATCTCCATCTATATAAAATCTGTCAGCGTGCTCTTTTACTATATCCTCTACATTGGCAAATTCTTCTTGATTTAGATGGTCTGTCTGTAGTATCTTTAGAATCTTTTGGGCTCGCTCAGGTTCTTGGTGGACTGCATCTTCATCTTGTGGTGCTTCTTCATATTGTTGCAGTTCAACAGCTGGCATTTCAATTTCTATATCTTCTGCTCCAACGTTGATTGCGTATAGAAATGCTATGCCATCCCGGTTCGTGACTACAGCATTCCCCATATATAGTTGTGGGTGAAGCTGCAGTTTTGGGACAAAACCGGTTTTTATTTCTGTGTTTGACACCTTTATGGGTATCATGGTTTTTGTCCTGGATGGTATTACTACTGCTGGTTGTTTGAACGGTATTATATTGTTGTTTACGATCAATATAGATTTAGCGTAATTGATGCTAGCTCCACTGCTTTTAAAGTATTCCGTGCCCAAAATTCCGTCTTGTTCAATTGGTAATTCTTCAATAATGTGGAAGATGGATTCTGTCTCCAGTATTTTTACTTTGATGTATCCTGTAGTGTAAATGGAGCTTTTAGTTATCCCGTTTAATTGAAAAATTATATCTGTATTTATAGCTATTTTATTTGAGATTGCTTGTTTCTTAATTATATTAATGTCTGACCCTGTGTCGACCATGAATAATGCCTTTTGATTTTTGAAATTTTCGCTTAATAGTTCGACACTGGGAGACTTATTTATCTCTCCTAAGTTCAGGTACAAGTTCGCTTTCTTACGTACCTGTTGTACTTGTGGAGTTTGCTGGAGTCTTTGAGTTTTGACACGCTCCTGATATGCTTTCTTTCGGCACTCTTGAATCGTATGGCCGATGTTTTGGCAAAATTCGCAAATTGGCGCTCTATTTTGTGTCCAATTTCGATTCTGCCTTGGCATAGGTTGATTCTTGTGGGCTTGATTTGGCTGCGCAAAATCCTGAGGGACCCCTGGTCTTCCTTGCTGGTCTTTAAACCAGCAGGTTTCCAAGGTGTGCCCGGACCTTTGGCAGTGCTGACAGTATTTTGCTGGCCAGTGGGCCCTCGACGTGGATTGTCTTTGGAACCTCTGACTGCAGCATACACTGGTATTGTGCCCATATCCGTAACAATTGTTGCATTGTTCGGCTGTAATGAATCCTTGCGATAATTTAACCTTCGTTAGGTTCTCTATGCTCTCAGCTTCTGCTAGGATTGCTGCGCTTATTGCATCTTCAAGACTGTTAAAATTTTGATTTCTCATCCGACTATATACCTCTTGTTTTAAACCTGTCAGGAATGCTCTGACGGTATTTGTTTCCGAGGATTGGTTGTATCTTTCAACCTGATCTGGGAACTCCATCTCGTTGCAACTCTTGATCTGTATCAAGAGTCCCGAAACGCGGCTGCCGTAGTCTACGACTGCCTCGGTCGGCGCTTGTACCATCCTTGCCATATCGCCACATAGCTGCATTGAAGTGAACAGCGGGGCGAAACGAGACTTTATTACGGCAATTAATTCTTCAATAGTGTCGTAGTCTCCGTTTTGTACCACTCTTGAAGCTTGCCCGTAAAATTTGTTCTTGATCAGCTGCACCAATCCGTACTCAGCATTTGGGGAGATTATATTCTTCGCCTTAAAACAGCTCTTTGCAAATTGATAAACAGGTATATTGCGGCCGTTGAATGCTGGTACGATGTCCGCTGCATCACGAATGCTGATCGGTCGGCTTCCTTCGGTTGATCCGCTGGCTGATGTGCCGGCTGGTATATCGGCTGTTCCGTTGGGCATCTTGATGTTTGCTTATTAATGTAATATATGTATATATGTACAACTCTCTATATCTACCCTGCTATATATATTTTTTTTTTTTTTTTTTTTTATTTTATTTATCTGTCTTTATTTTATTCTAGGCTTGACCATTAATGTCCGCAGAGATACGATTTTCTCATTACCACTCGAACAATCCCACCGCTGTCACCAAAATTTTATCTCTTAACTATTTACGTGTAACGACCCAGTGATAGGTACGTCACTGCACCGACGTATAGGGAGAGCGGTTCCCCAAGAAGGCGACTCGTATGAATGAGAATTGGGATTATAGGTTCGTGTGGTGTGCGGTTAAGGAGTGAAATCCAACATTAATGTATCAAACTAAAAATTATCTTTATTTAAGTAAGTAAATTAACTATAATTGCTCTAAGTAAGTATAATATTAAGTATAACAATAGGTACGCCCTAGATAATGAAATACAATAAGAAATTATAATATGTACGCCCTAGATAATGAAATACAGTGCAAAATATATGATTAACGCGACTTGATCTTCGAATACAGCCAATACTCTGTACAATTTGCCAAGTTACACTAAGTACTGGAAAACTATATTCTAGTAGCTTGTATGATACCTTCGGACACGAGCGGACTATACCTACAGGTCGCAATCGGTTTCTGGTCTAGCCAGAGCTATGCTAATACAGGCCTGCTCAAGGAGCTCCGCTCCTCGCTAGCTCTTTACACTTGAACGTGTGGCTTAGTATTAGCACGTGTTCAACACGTTGCGTACCATGAGTAGGGTGTCCACAGATCCGAACTCTCGTACGTCGCTACTGAAAGAGAAGGATAGAGCTAATCTCGCGCTCTATAGTTGCCTAGGCAATTCAGCGCAAGCTTTTCCTCTACTTCCAGAGTATTGTCTGCATCTGACCGAAGCCAGGGAAGATCTGATCTGACTCTTCGTGAAACGCCTCTATTTATAGTCAGATTCTGCTGACTTAGCGTTTTTTTTTATTATAGGGTTCCTTCGAATTTCTGGAATTCCCCATCACGTGACGGCCGAGCACCCCTGCTCCTTAGTCTACGCGGTCACCCTACTCTAGAATTTCACCCCACCGCGAGATCATCGGGGTTGCGCTGGCGCGTATGCATTCGTTTGTCGATCATTTATCGATAATCTATTTACCGACCGACTTACCGACTAATTGCTTATCGACTTATCGCTTATCGACTTATTCAATCAGACTATGTTATCGATTAAATGAAATTTATTTATTATAAGAAGTATAATACAAATCAAACTAATTATTATTTTTTATAAACTCTTTTAAACATAAAAATTAAATTAACCACTTTGTGCTAAAAATAAATTATAATAATAAAAACGAAATGGAAAAAGGTGCTAAGTCTTCTTAACGGGTCGTTACAGCTTCCCCCGTGCGTTTGTCTCTTGTCCTCAAGAGACTGTGATTGCATCTTCTGAGATGGCAAAGGGCGCAGCGGCACTTTTCTTTGCTGTTTCTTGGGGATGCTGATAGGACTCCAAAGTAGCGAATAACTTTTCCATGTTTCCTTCTAGGGTCCTCTTTTTGTAACCGTCTGTATGCTTGCCAGTCGAATTCTGGTATGTCGATCATGACTAACCTCCATCGTGGTGGTGGTGGTGGTTGCGGTGATTTTATTTTTTCTTGTACTGGCATCTTTGAAAATTTTGTAGAAAACAAATAATTAATAAATGAAATAAATTATTAAAAGTATAATTCTACCTCTCTGAACTGTTTTAATGCTCTTCTTAATCTTTTTAAACGTTCGCGTCGTCCTGCGCGTCGCACCATTTTCGCTCTTTATAAATTGAATGTAGCGGTGCGTGCGTAGCGTCGCCTTGTATAGCTTTCTTTGTCGCTCTTTGTTTCTATCTCTTTCTATGCTAATATGGCGGACTTGCGATTCTGCGCAATTATAAATCGAACGAAATAAATATGGTTCGTGAGTTTTGAAATAAATAAATTCACTCGTTTATAGAAGAAAAATAATTATATATATATTTAAATGAATAAAGTATTTTATAAAAGAAAGAAAACATGGATTAATATTAATTATGAGTAATGACTCTGTACTCTTCATTTTGCACAACAACATCCTTTAATGGAAAAATGTTAGGGTCTAGAGTCGGCAAAATAAATCCTTCACGAAAGGTTTCCTTATGTTCATTGTCGGCTGCGAATAGTCTACTTCTGCAGCTAGTGCAGGAGGCTGCTGGTCTCATCCTGCATAGCACTTTTCTGCATATTATGCAGTGGATATAGTTGATATCTGTATTTTTGGATACATGGTTGTGCCATCCCATAAAGAACCACATCTCCTTCGCTTCCGGGACCATTTTAAATGCACAGTCGATACATGTTCGGCCAATTCTGTGCGCCAAATTGTTATTGAAAACTGGGCCGATGTCGCGGATACAGACAGCGTCCAAGATATATTGCCCAATTTCTTCAAACTACAATAAAAAGAAAAAGTTTTACTTTCTTGCATAAGTTTATATTTAAAATATGTTCTACCTCGTTCAGATCCATCTTTTTCTAACTTTTTCCCTTTTTTTTTTATATTATAGTAATAAAAATTTCAGTAGCGTCTCTTTTTCGTGTGCCTTGCTTTTAAGCGTTCTTTGCGCAATATGGCGGTAGGTTTAAAATTCTGTATTTGCGCATGCGTATGTTCCGAAAATTATATAGATTGTCGTATCGACTTTTATTTTTGATCCGCGCTGTAGATTGGTCGATAGGCCCTCTTTAGTCGATCTTTGTGTACTATCCTAGTCTTTTTGGGACCTATCTGCAATTCTATGTTATTTTTTTCTATGTTTCTTAAAACAGTGTATGGCCCAGTGTATTCTTTTTGTAATTTACTTCTTCTTGGTGGATTTAAGAGCATTACTTCTTCTCCTGTTTCATAATTAATTGGACGTATTTTTCTATCGTAATAGTATTTTTGTCTATATTTTGATTGTTCTAGATTTATTTTTGCGGTTTGTCTAATTTCATGTAAGTTTTGTAATAGTTTATCTACGTAGTCAGGGTATGTATCTAATCTGTCAGATGGTATAAATTTTGATGGCAATCTTGCCTTTTTTCCATAAACCAGTTCATGAGGTGTGAATTTTGTTCCCTCGTGAACACTTGTGTTGTATGAGAACATTGCTTGCTGTAGCCATTCGTCCCAATGTTCTTGTTTAGATATGTAGTGTTTTAAATATTCAACCAGAACGTGATGGCTTCTTTCCAGGGACCCGTTTGACTGAGGATGGAAGGATGATGTACGGTACGTCTTGATATGGAAGATTTTGGCTAGCTTTTTGATTAGCGAGGATGTGAAGCACGTCCCTTGATCAGTGAGGATAGCTTTAGGACTACCGAACTGGCATATGAATGAATTAGTGAATGCTCTTGCGACGTCCTCGGATGTGGCTGATACAAGTGGAACTGCGACGGAGTATTTGGTTAAATTATCCTGTATAGTGAGGATGTAACTGTATCCTTTATGTGTCATTGGCAAGGGTCCAAGAATGTCTAGGGACACCTTATCGAATGCGTCTGAAGGAGTGTCTGTGATAACCATTGGCTCCTTATTCTTCATCCTTACTAGCTTGGTTCGCTGGCAGCTTATACAGGATCTAACGTAATCGGTAATTTCTTTTTTCATGTTTTTCCAATAATACTTGTTCCTGATTCTAAGGTAAGTTTTCCTGATACCTTTATGTCCTGCGACTGGGCTTTCATGATTTTCCCTAATTATATTTTTCCTTTCCTCTTTAGGTGGAATTTGGACCGTTCCTTTGCAGATAGTGATGTTGATATTAGAGTCTGCAAAGACTATCTGGAGAATTGCTTTTAAACCCTGTCTATTTGGCATGCTGCACTCCTGGATTCCTTTTTGGAGTAATATTTGATGAAGAATTTTAATTTTCTGTGGTAATGTTTCTCTAGATTCTACTATTATTCCAAAAATTAATCTATTTTTGATTTTATATTGCATGATGTTGCTTTGTGGTTTAGAAATTTTAATCTTTTCATTTTCCATAAATTGTCTTGATTGTATATCTTCTGGTTGTCCTTCTTTGTTAAGAAATATTATTGCTGTGCCTTTTTTCATCCATAGATGGTCTTCGGTTTCTTCTATTTTAAATATAATTGGTTTATTGCTGATTATTTTGGGTTTTATTTGTTTAATTTTTGGTGGTTGATTTTTTTCTTTTTTAATTTTGATGGGTGTAATCGGAGCTGATAGAGTATCGCTTGAAGTCTCTTTATCTATTTTTCTTTTTAGTACTGGAGATTTTCCTCTTGTGCTTGAAGAAGAATCGATTTTAGGTGGTTCTCTGAAAATGTGTTTTGGTATAATTGTTTCTTCGTTGTATTCTTCTATTTCATCTCCAATTATTACTGGTTCCCTATTTATAGGTCTTTTCTGTGGAATGATATATTTTCGATCCTGTGGTGGTTGATGTACTTCTACAATGACTTGCTGTTCATTAGGTCTTCTTTTCTTTCTGATCTCTTCAGAGGAATATATTTTTGGATTTAAATTTGTTCTTTTTCTTGGTTTTGGTGGCTCTTCAGATACATCTGTCTCATAATATTGAGATTCATCTGAGCTTGTATAATCCTCTTTTACTCTTTTCTTTGTTGCGTTGTCCTCTTGAGAAAAACTTCTTTCTCGTATCCTGTCTTTCCGATATTTTTTTCTTGTTTCGAATTCTGAGGAATCGTCTCGTGGTCGTGTTAAATGTTTATGGCTTATTTTCCTTTTCTTAATATCCCGTGAACTAGATGAAGTTGTTGGCCTTGGTCTTCTAGGATATTGATGCCATTCTTTTTTCTTTTTGTGTTCTTCAGACTCAGTCGTAGTTGTTGGTCTGAGTCTGGTAGGATACTGGTGTGATTCCTTTTTCTTTTTGAATTCTCTTGATTCTGACGTGGTTGTTGTTTGTCTTGGGCTAGTGGGATATTGGTGCCACTCTTTCCTTTTCTTGTGTTTGCCCGATTCTGAAGTGGTCGTCGTTTGTCTGGGGCGAGTGGGATATTGGTGCCACTCTTTCTTCTTCTTACGCTTCTTTTTTGACCCAGACGTAGACGAATGCAGCCTCTTAGCATGTATTTGCAGGGCGTTTATATCTTCGATTGGATTTCTCGAAAGAGCGTCAGCGTTTATATTTTGTTTGCCTGGTTTGTACTTTATTTCATAATCGTACTCGCTCAATCTCAATTTCCATCGCATGAGTCTCGATGTAGGATCTGTGAGACTATTTAGCCAGATCAATGGTTTGTGATCTGTAATTAGATAAAACTTCCTGCCAAATATATATGGTCTGAAGTGATTTACTGCAAATATTACAGCAAGTAATTCTCTCTCTGTTGCGGAATATTGCGTTTCCGGCTTATTCATTACTCTTGAGGCGTAAGCTACTGGCTGATCCTTTCCTATCTCTCCTTGACTTAGGACTGCTCCTACCGCTGTTCCGGATGCATCAGTGGTTATATTAAATGGTCTCTCAAAGTCTGGATATTGCAGGATCGGTTCTTCGCATAGTACGTTTCTCAAGAATTCGAAGGCTTGCTGCTGTTGGCTGGACCACTCGAATTTTTGTTCTTTCTTCGTCAGGTCGGATAATGGCTTGGCTATCTTAGAGAAGTCTTTAATAAAGCGTCTGTAGTATCCGCACAATCCCAGAAATTGTCTAATGTTTTTGACAGTCTTAGGAATGGGGAACCTCTGGACTGCTTCAACCTTTGCTGGGTCAGGTCTTACACCGTCTTCTGTAATTATGTGACCCAGGTACGCTACTTCTTTCTTCAGAAATTGGCATTTGTCAGGTTGCAAGCATAAGTTTGCTTCTCTGAGCTTTGCCATCATCCTATTGACTTTGGTTTCGTGTTCTTGTAACGAACTTGCATAAATTACAATGTCATCAATGAACACGAATAGTTCCAGTCCTTGCAGTCCGTCTAGGACGTTGTTCATCAGACGTTGGAACGTAGCTGCAGCATTTTTCAACCCAAAAGGCATTCTGTTGAATTCAAAGTGCCCAAATGGTGTCGAAAATGCCGTCTTATGCTTGTCTTCTGGATGCATTGGTGTTTGATGAAAACTGGACTTCAAATCAAACACGGAGAAGTATTTTGCGCTTCCCACTTGATCCAGGATGTCTGTAATATTGGGTAGTGGATAGGCATCGCTGATTGTTTTTTCGTTTAGCTTTCGGAAATCAATCACCAATCTCCACAATTTGTTTCCCTGTGAATCCTGTTTCTTAGGTACTATCCACAAGGGGGAGTTAAATGGTGACGATGAATGTTTGATTATTCCTTTCTCAAGGAGATCATTTACTTGATGATTGATTTCGTCTTTTAACGCATGAGGATACCTGTATTGCTTAACGTTTACAGGCATCTCATCCGTTGTGATGATTCTATGGTAGATTTTATTTGTTGCTGGGAGCTTATCTCCATCTATATAAAATCTGTCAGCGTGCTCTTTTACTATATCCTCTACATTGGCAAATTCTTCTTGATTTAGATGGTCTGTCTGTAGTATCTTTAGAATCTTTTGGGCTCGCTCAGGTTCTTGGTGGACTGCATCTTCATCTTGTGGTGCTTCTTCATATTGTTGCAGTTCAACAGCTGGCATTTCAATTTCTATATCTTCTGCTCCAACGTTGATTGCGTATAGAAATGCTATGCCATCCCGGTTCGTGACTACAGCATTCCCCATATATAGTTGTGGGTGAAGCTGCAGTTTTGGGACAAAACCGGTTTTTATTTCTGTGTTTGACACCTTTATGGGTATCATGGTTTTTGTCCTGGATGGTATTACTACTGCTGGTTGTTTGAACGGTATTATATTGTTGTTTACGATCAATATAGATTTAGCGTAATTGATGCTAGCTCCACTGCTTTTAAAGTATTCCGTGCCCTAAAATTCCGTCTTGTTCAATTGGTAATTCTTCAATAATGTGGAAGATGGATTCTGTCTCCAGTATTTTTACTTTGATGTATCCTGTAGTGTAAATGGAGCTTTTAGTTATCCCGTTTAATTGAAAAATTATATCTGTATTTATAGCTATTTTATTTGAGATTGCTTGTTTCTTAATTATATTAATGTCTGACCCTGTGTCGACCATGAATAATGCTTTTGATTTTTGAAATTTTCGCTTGATAGTTCGACACTGGGAGACTTATTTATCTCTCCTAAGTTCAGGTATAAGTTCGCTTTCTTACGTACCTGTTGTACTTGTGGAGTTTGCTGGAGTCTTTGACTTTTGACACGCTCCTGATATGCTTTCTTTCGGCACTCTTGAATCGTATGGCCGATGTTTTGGCAAAATTCGCAAATTGGCGCCTCTATTTTGTGTCCAATTTCGATTCTGCCTTGGCATAGGTTGATTCTTGTGGGCTTGATTTGGCTGCGCAAAATCCTGAGGGACCCCTGGTCTTCCTTGCTGGTCTTTAAACCAGCAGGTTTCCAAGGTGGTGCCCGGACCTTTGGCAGTGCTGACAGTATTTTGCTGGCCAGTGGCCCTCGACGTGGATTGTCTTGGAACCTCTGACTGCAGCATACACTGGTATTGTTGCCCATATCCGTAACAATTGTGCATTGTTCGGCTGTAATGAATCCTTGCGATAATTTAACCTTCGTTAGGTTCTCTATGCTCTCAGCTTCTTGCTAGGATTGCTGCGCTTATGCATCTTCAAGACTGTTCAAAATTTTGATTTCTCATCCGACAATATACCTCTTGTTTTAAACCTGTCAGGAATGCTCTGACGGTATTTGTTCCGAGGATTGGTGTGTATCTTTTCAACCTGATCTGGGAACTCCATCTCGTTGCAACTCTTGATCTGTATCAAGAGTCCCGAAACGCGGCTGCCGTAGTCTACGACTGCCTCGGTCGGCGCTTGTACCATCCTTGCCATATCGCCACATAGCTGCATGAAGTGAACAGCGGGGCGAAACGAGACTTTATTACGGCAATTAATTCTTCAATAGTGTCGTAGATCTCCGTTTTGTTACCACTCTTGAAGCTTGCCCGTAAAATTTGTTCTTGATCAGCTGCACCAATCCGCACTCAGCATTTGGGGAGATTATATTCTTCGCCTTAAAACAGCTCTTTGCAAATTGATAAACAGGTATATTGCGGCCGTTGAATGCTGGTACGATGTCCGCTGCATCACGAATGCTGATCGGTCGGCTTCCTTCGGTTGATCCGCTGGCTGATGTGCCGGCTGGTATATCGGCTGTTCCGTTGGGCATCTTGATGTTTGCTTATTAATGTAATATATGTATATATGTATCAACTCTCTATATCTACCCTGCTATATATATATTTTTTTTTTTTTCTTTTTTTATTTTATTTATCTGTCTTTATTTTATTCTAGCTTGACCATTAATGTCCGCAGAGATACGATTTTCTCATTACCACTCGAACAATCCCACCGCTGTCACCAAAATTTTTCTCTTAACTATTTACTGTGTAACGACCCCAGTGATAGGTACGTCACTGCACCGACGTATAGGAGAGCGGTTCCCCAAGAAGGCGACTCGTATGAATGAGAATTGGGATTATAGGTTCGGTGTGATGTGCGGTTAAGGAGTGAAATCCAACATTAATGTATCAAACTAAAAATTATCTTATTT